AAAGGTTGGATTTAATCAGTCATCAGAAGATGTCGATTGATTTTATTATTATTCTATTTGAAAATTATAGCTATCAGGGAAACAAGCAACTAAAAGAGATATTTTTACTGGCGGGAATGCGAATACAAACTTTCAATGTTGGAATAGAAGAGGTGATACATTTAACTCTTTCGAATTGAAAGATTCTTTCATGCCAACCTAGTATCATTTTTAAATTCATGCAGATTGGGTTTCAATCAAAGTAAAGTCGTCGGAACAGTCGCCATAAAATTATTTGTAAAAAACAGACAGAGTTAATAAATTTTCAACACGTCTTTCATCATCTTCACTTTAGACAAGATTTAGATCATTACCTATCAACAATATCTGTCTCTGGATTTTATTTATATATTGATATATATATATATATATATATATATTAGTAACCGTGTAAGCAAAAAATGCTGAATGGTAGATTTGTAGATTTGAAGGATGGATTTAAAAGAAAAATTAATAAATTTGGGCAAGACAGAAAACCAAAATTTAATGTTATTGATTCAGCTATTGATTCAATAGTTGTTCCACCTCAGGTCAGTGGAAAACGTTCAGGGGATATCATTTAAAATTGCACTATATTTTTGAGATTTTCTTTTTATAGATTTTATCATTAGAATGTTCGTTTGATATGAAACAGACTGATGAGATAGATATTTTAGATGTTTGTAGTTGTTCGTGATCATTTTATAATTCGATTTGATTTTTTACACTCGCAGTTTAGAATTAAGAAGCTCCTTTTTCCCTCCTTTTCATTCTTCCGATTAGAAACGAGTAACATTTGAAACATTTTCGATAAATTTTAATTTTTGAGATTGTTCAAGTTTTTTAGACCTTTTTTTTGTCTAAAAAGCTGCACTTTTTCCTTTTTTAATAATTGGATTTCAAGAAATTGGTATGAAAAATATCCAGACCACACACACGGAGATACACACATAACAATTTTATTTATATATATATATATACAGCACAATCAAATTCAACTGCACAGACATCTTGATAAGAGACATTTTGTAAAGATTTAAAGTGTCTTTTATTTTCTCCTGACCCATGTCTTCTGTATCTTTAGCATCGACGTTTATGATATATATATATATATATATGATTATATATATTGCAGATATCGGAAAGTGTGTTCCTATTTCTATTTTTAATATCTACCACAAGGATTATATTTAAACGAAAAAATGAAGACTTGACGTCAGCTTCTCCTCACCATTTTCAACGGAAAAATCAGGATCTTGATGTCCACACGTTATCAATTCGCTGAATTGAAAAATTTAAACATCCTGCAATTGGAGGCCAAAGACAAAAATCCTTCTCTAGAGAATGAGCTTCATTCATAAATATATATATATTTTTTTAAGGGGTAATTTGCGGGACCATCTGATGCAAATGATAATAATTTTAGCAGCTCAAAAGCAATTTTATTAGGTTTCTGTCTGCGGAAATCTGTATGCTTGGGCAGAAATATCTGATAAATAATTAAGACCTTCAGATTTTTTTAGCCATGTTGTCCTTTTAATATTCCCAGGGTGCGGCGGATGCTTACATTCTTCCTAAATGTTCAGACGTCTTTCTTGCCTGGCATTTAAATAAATCCATCCTCGCTGCCAATAGCATTATGCTGATAATATAAGCGTTGTACTTTGCCATGGATGGTATTCACCGACATTTAGGATTGGTCCAGACACGTGTTGTAAACGGACCACTGGTAACTGCATTGAAACCCGTTTATAGTGATCAATATATTAATATATATATATATATATATATATATATATATATATATAAGACATTTTTTATGTTCATTTCAAAGATACAAATATTTAAATTCAATGATATTTTTATAATAAACAGTATTAACAATTACCGGCCTGAATATTTGCGAGAAAAAAAATAGAAAATCATCTTTCCTCCGACAGGAATCGAAACAGGACAAATCCTTATTGCCTGACATGTAATTTAAATTTATTTTGCCACAGAGGAACGTTCCAATTAAAATAAAATCAGTTTTACTGTTTTTAAAATTGAATTCTCTATTATTTTTATCAACATCATTTTTAAAAATGCTTCAACGTTGTCCAAAAAAAATAATTGTCGGACTTTGATATTTCAACAATGTGTGACCTCATTTGTTTACATTTCGATAGGCACAAAATAAATATAAAAAATGTCTTAAAATCATTGTCGGATTTTTTTCCATTTCATAATATATACTTATAAGATATATATATATATATATATATATATATATATATATATATTCTGATTTTCCGTCGAATTGGCCCGTAAGAGGGCACCGTCAGATCAAAATTCTTTGAAACCGACACCAAATTTTATGAGATTTGAATTATAGTGGTGAAGGTTTTGTGGAGGGATAGAATAATTATATAATTTATTTCAGGCACATAATAACAATAATCTCTGTAAAGGCACGACATGCCGCATGTTTGAATTCACATCTAAATTTGTCCTCCATAAGTGGATTCTTTAAAAGTAAAAGAAGATTCATAATCTTTTATGCAATGACGTTTTAAACTGTTCTAAAACTAACTGTAATGGATTCGATGATTTCGAACATAAAATCCATTTTGAGAAAACCTATCAATTTTCGACAGAATAGGTCTCAATATAAACCGCCATATATATATATATATATATATATATATATATATATATTATATATATATATATATATATATATATATATATATATATATATATATATAACCCATTTGACTGTGTGTTAAAATGTGTGGTATAAACAAATACATTGTTATATTTAAACAAATTTATTCATCCAAATATGTTTTCATCTTTAAAAATAACTTTTGAAAATCTGTCTGTTTATATATATATATATATATATATATTAAATATTTATATATAAATAATCTAAATTATTCCTTGAATATATATTGACTTTGAAAATATATTTCTTTGCCTTAATGGAGATTTATATTGCTACATATATATATATATATATATATATATATATAAAGATAATATATATATATATAAAACTATTATTCTTGTTTAATAAACATAAATATGTTATAAAATCACTACCCATATTGATTTTGTTTCAACACCTCTAGTGTCTTATCAAGTCAGATGATTGAATTTAGATTGTAGAATCTGACCAACAGGTTTTAAATAATTCAAATTAATTAAAATTTTATAAAATAAAATGAAAACGCTTCACATGATGAAATGACCAATCAAAAAACAAGTATACATGAATAAAAAAACTTGATAAACGAATTAAAACGTATCCTATAAATGCTTTAAATTTATAATTTATTCTAAAATAAAATTTATTCTAACTAATAATCGGATCATTTCGATAAAATTTGAAATTAAAATTAAAATCTACCCAATTCATAAATTTCCGCATAAAAAATCATATAAATATATATATAATCATATATATATATATATATATATATATATATATATATATATATATATAAATTATGGAAACAGGATGTTGACGTAATGAATATCTCTTATATCGTAATTTTACTCATACTAATTATAAACAAGATGAAAATATACTAAAAATATATATAAATATATAAAATATATACAACAGATCCTAAAAAAAAAGTTAATCATATACTACACTAAATCTATTATATCCAACTCAATTATTCGCAATGATTCTTCCCCCCCCCCGTTAGTGATTTGCAAAAAAACAACATAGTTTATAAATTCAAGATTAACTTGGGAGATTGTATCTCCAACGGATTAAATAATATTTATGTTGGTCACACCACAAACTCGCTTTCACGACGCTTGACACTACATTTGAATGATAACTCTAACATTTTTAGGCATTTAAAACAACATGCCTGGCCGCATACACAATTCCGGAAAATCCTCGTTGAAAACACAACTATACTTAAACATGAAAACAATAAACAAAAACTAAAAATTCTTGAAGCTATATACATAAAACAATTGAAACCTAACCTGAACAAAATAAACTATGAAATCTCCACAAATATTCTTAAATGCCTATAATTGATAACAGAAGCCATTGGTTTATACCAACGGCTTCCCATACTTAATATTTCTCATTTTTGCTCTCATGTGGTCATGTGCGACTTCATGAACTGGGGTGCGATTTTTCACTTCCAGCGTCTCGTATGCACGAGTTTGTCGTTGCTTGGAAATCTTTCATGTAAACAAAAACAGACTATCATTATTGTTTTGTCCGTGTATTGTTTAATATATTGTAATGTAATTATCATCTTTGATAATGGCTTATGTAAGCCGAAAGCTTAGATAGGATTAAAAAATATGTATCAATATTGTGATTTTCTTTCTTCTTTTAATGATAATGTTATTAAGCTTATCAGACGATATGAAAAGAATTTACATAAAATAAATAGATAAAACTTGTCTATATTATTTAATGAAACATGCATCAATGAAAAAATGCTGCCTAAATATATAATATATATATATATATATATATATATATATATATATATATATATATATTATATATATCACATAACTCTCGATTCGTCATCTTTCCAGTCTTTTTCTTACAATGCCGCCAGTATGGAATGGAGAGTTGAGAAGAAGAGAAAAAAAGGTTTGGTAGCAAGAGACAAAAGGTAATTCAGTGGCAAATTATCACCTTGGACATACATACAGATTTTTTCTTTTTTAAAATGTACACATCCGCATAAGTACACATACGCACACGCTCATACATAAAGGAAAGGGCGTGTACACAATACTTAGACGTGGGTGGAGTAGAAATTCTTAAACAATATTTAATAATTATGATTTATCGAAAATGTTTCAAATGTGAAATCTAATTTCGAATGAAAAATTCAGAACGCTCTTTAAGTGTGTGAAAATTGTGCAGTTGTGTGAATATATTAAAAACAGAATACATGTATATTTTCCACGTTTGAGGACGACTGTCTATCTATATACACCTTTTCATGCATAGTTATTTATCTGTTTATCTACCAATCTATCTATCGCATTCTATTTATGTATATCTATCTATCTCAGTCAGGTCTTTATCTATCTATCTATCTATCTATCACATTCTGTTCATATCTATATATCACATTCTGTTCATATATATCTATGTATCTATCTATCTATCTCATTCTGTTCATATGTATCACAGTCTTTTCATATCTATCTATCTCAGTCTGTTCACATCTATCTATCTATCACAGTCTGTTCATATCTATCTATCACATTCTGTTCACATCTATCTATCACATTCTGTTCACATCTATATATCTATCTATCTCAGTCTGTTCACATCTATCTATCTATCTATCTATCTATCTATCTATCTATCTATCTATCTATCTCAGTCTGTTCACATCTATCTATCTATCTATCTATCTATCTATCTCAGTCTGTTCACATCTATCTATCTATCTATCTATCTCAGTCTGTTCATATCTATCTATAACATTCTGTTCACATCTATCTATCTATCTCAGTCTGTTCACATCTATCTATCTATCTATCTATCTATCTATCTATCTATCTCAGTCTGTTCATATCTATCTATAACATTCTGTTCACATCTATCTATCTATCTATCTAACAATCTATCTCAGTCTGTTCATATCTATCAGAGTCTGTTCATATCTATCTATCTATCTATCTATCTATCTATCTCAGTCTGTTCACATCTATCTATCTATCTATCTATCTCAGTCTGTTCATATCTATCTATCACAGTCTGTTCACATCTATCTATCTATCTATCTATCTATCTATCTATCTATCTATCTATCTATCTAAGGCTTTTCGTTTCAATCTCTCTATCTATCTATCTATCTATATCTCACAAGTTCATCTTTTCTTCTTTGCCAAATATTGTGTTGGCCAAAATGTTCATTCGTTGTTCATAACTTATTTAATGCCCGAACAAACTTTTCGACCAACAGAATATTTAATTTCTCTCAATCTGTTCACATCTATCTATCTATCTATCTATCTATCTATCACTCTCTGGATTTATTTATGTCAATTTGTTCATATCTCTCTCTCTCTCTCTCTCTCTCTCTCTCTCTCTCTCTCTCTATATATATATATATATATATATATATATATATATATTTATATTTCACAGTCTGAGCTCATCTATCCATATCGGTTTGTTTATATCTATCTACCTGTCTAACACAGTCTGGGATTATTTTATTACTTCTTATTTTTAAAGGTTAACCGCTTTTTTAAATAGAGGTACCGTATTTTTTAAAACAGTGAGTATTGCATCTACACACACGGTAAAACTTAATAAAGAAAATGTGCTCTTAGGCAGGGTTCGAACCTGCGGCCTCTTTGCAAGAGAAAACACCGTCTGTTCCGGAGTACTCTAGACAACTCTATCTATCTATCGATCGCTCGATCTATCTATCTATCTATCTATGTTAGTCAATCTATCTAAGGCTTTTCGTATCTATCTATCTATCCATCCATCTATCTACCTATCTATGTCAGATCGTTATCTATGTATCTATATATCTAAGGTTTTTCGTGTCTCTATCGCTCTCTCTCTATCTATCTATCTATCTATCTAAGCCTTTTCGTATCTAGCTATTTATCTGTCTATATCAGTCAATTCGTTATTTATCTATCCATCGAATTAGCTATGTCAGTCAGTTCGTTATCTTTCCATCTATCTAAGTTTTCTGCACACTTAGGAAAATTTAATAAAGGAAATGTGCTCTCAGGCAGGGTTCGAACCTGCGTCCTATTTGTAGGAGAAAACACCGTCTGTTCCGGAGTACTTTAGATAGCTCGGATACATTAGAACCTTGCTGAGCTCTGGTGATCTCTGTGGCTGAGCAGTGTAAAGCCCTCTGGATCAGGTAAGTTTTGAAGTAAGTTTACTGGTGTTTACAAGGTCCGCTTCTTGACAGATGTGACATGTACCAAAGTTGTTGCGAATCAGAAGCTCGACATATTTCGCGGTTATTATGATTTATGTTCAGGTGACAAGAAACTAATTCTAAAATTCCATTAAACTGATGGAATGACGGTATGGGTGAACTAGTAATATTACTGAAGTTCGCTGAGTATATATGGGCGACCTCAGTAGTACCGGCCATGGGTCTCAGTTTACCCGAACATTAATATAACAAATTGCGAACGGCTGGTGTGAGGGCGGAAAAACGTAAATCAAAGGTTTTATTTTTATACAAAGAAAACGTGCAAACAAGGTTTACAAATATGACGCATGTTTCTCTCAGAACTTATTAAAACAAGGCTAGCGAATATTATAAAAGTCTGTCTTTACTCACAATTCAAGCACGTCATTTTGTAAAACGCTGTGCTTTTTCCACGTGGTGGAAAAGCATCATCTCTTCATGACGTTTACCTCAAAACTCTTCTCCGTACCGACAGGCGTGTCACCCAGTGGTCGTTAAGGGGTCACTTAACTGGCCAGGCGTAATGCATAATAATTAGGCAAGAGGAAAGAACGTTAACCAAACATTATGATTGTATGAAGCTTGTTTCATTGAAACAACGATTAATTTGTTTACTTTGTTATTATAATAATATTATTATTCTCAATAATACCAACGAATGGCCAAGTGGTTAGAACGGTCGCTTTTTGATCATGAAACCCGGGTTCGAATCATCCTGGGTAAGATGATAAACTAGATTTGCCTTCTGGATAAGACGATACACTACATCCAACTGCAAGAAGGTTTTGAGAAGCGTGGAACCACCTCTTAATTGCCGGTGTTTTCAGTTCCGCCCTGACCCGGGGTGGTAGCACCTGTTAGCTATGAGCAAATAGTTACCCCCCCCCAAACTGGGGTCAAAACACTATGAAAGTGTAAAAATAGGTTATAATACCAGTAATAAGATTTTATAAAAAATATTACCAGCAATACATTCAAAAAATATATTACCAGCAATACATTTTTAAAGAAAAATATTACCAACTATAAATTTTTGAGGAGAAAATATTAGCAGCAATACATTTTTTGAAAAAAAAAGAAATATTAATAGCAATACATTTTTTGAAAAAAAAAAAAGAAATATTAACAGCAATACATTTTTTGAAAAAAAAGAAATATTAGCAGCAATACATTTTTTGAAAAAGAAATATTAGCAGCAATACATTTTTTTGAAAAAAAAGAAATATTAGGCAACAATACATTTTTTTTGAAAAAGAAATATTAACAGCAATACATTTTTTGAAAAAAAAAAAATATTAGCAGCAATACATTTTTTGAAAAAAAAGAAATATTAGCAGCAATACATTTTTGAAAAAAAAAAGAAATATTAACAGCAATACATTTTTGAAAAAAAAAAAAAAGTATTAGCAGCAATACATTTTTTGAAAAAAAAAAAGAAGAAATATTAGCAGCAATACATTTTTTGAAAAAAAAGAAATATTAGCAGCAATACATTTTTTGAAAGAAAAAGAAATATTAGTAGCAATACATTTTTTTGAAAAAATATATTACTACCAATAAAATCTTATCGTTCTTTGGAAAGTGCCTTAAAAACCATACAACGGTTTGATCCAAGCCTTGTGATTGAAATTTGGTAGACGTAAATCTTGGGTGTCGTCGATGGTTGTGAAGTCACAAGTCATCGTGAGCGAAGGTTTGAAAATGCTGGTCTTTTTTTCAGACTGTTGATCATGTTAAATAATGCACTAGATAATCTCCCCTGAAACTGTACACTGAATAGATGAACATCCTCAGATACGAGTGACCAGCTATCCATCCACTACCATTAATGATGTTAGTGATCTCCTGTGAGAATCAAAAGCCGTTTCAGTTAAGTACTCTTGAAGTTAATAAGGAAAGAGAAAAATACATGTACTGAATTTTCTAAGATGTACAATAAGAACGAATCGCAAAAGCGTCACTTTTTTCTTGAGTATAACTTCTCAATTTAGTCTGGTTATTACTAATTTTACTGTTTAAAAACAATGACAGCAACCCAAACACGAGTGCCCACTAAAAATAACGCTTATAGTAATAAGAAAAATCCTTTCAACAGTCACTGTTGTTTACGTTTGCGAAACTGACGCTAGAAGATATAGATTCGCAGAAGTCCTAACGAAAGATTTAAGAAACAGCAGATAGTTTTATATATAGTGCTCAATATTAAAAACATTAAAATAATATTAAAAATAGAGCGTTAATAATATTATATGAAAAGATTACTTAACTTTTAAATATTAATTTTATCCCGACTTCAAAGTTTCTTGGTAAAATTTCCAGTCTTCAGGGGTTGTGTTTTTTACAATTTGTTTCGTGTTTTTTCAATCCGCTTTTTTCACTCTGTTTTGTACACCAGCGTATTCAGGAATTTAACGTCATGAAATTTTGCTTTTGTTTACATCTTTCATTTTTTTTTTTTTTTAGCTGTAGATTTTTCTTTCAGATTTTTATAATTTTTTCTTCGGAATTATTTTTTTAAAAATAATCATATGATGTTATTTAAAATAGGTAAATACTCAAATAGCACATTATCAAAATATATATGGAGTTAAAAACGAAATAATATACCTACTATAGTTAAATGGGAAATTATAAAAAAAAAGTACTCCTATATAATATTGCCAATAGGAACTGTAGAAGAAAAATTATCAATATTAACTTTTAATAATCAAATTAAATTATTAAATAAGAAGAATGAAATAATGGGTCGATGCCAATATATCAACAAATATTTACTTTGATGATGATGACATTGCGCTATGTCGAAAGTACACGGGATAAATTATGTAATTTTCTCTCTTCCTTTAATAATGACGCTAAAAAGTTTGACTGTTAATATGAAAGGATCCAATTGAAAATAAACTTCTCTAAATTATTCAATGAAACATGTCTCAATGAAAACATGCTGCAAAAATATAGGCAATAGATAGATAGATAGCAGACCAAAAGTAGGCATACAGTTGTTTAATATTGCTTTAGCAAAAGGGACTACCTTGAGTAAGCCTTCCCACGATCGGATGACGTAGCAGCATTGAACAGCTTAACATAGATAGATAGATAGATAGATAGATAGATAGATAAGTCTGTTTATTTTAGTTTTAATCCTTTCAAGTTCACGAATTTTTTCTTTCAAATAATTTTTATATTCTCAAGTCCTTTCAGTCTCATCTGAGACCATTTTCAGGGATTAGAATGGAGTTCGGAATCAAAACCACATTCAAAGGCGGTAAACTAACGAAAACTACGGATTTAGACCTTGATATCAACAAGATTAAGGAACTAAACCAAGATGGTATATACAAATACTTAGAAATTAATGAAGGAAACGGAATACAACATTCAATTATAAGGAAAAAGATCCGAAAAGAATATTATAGGAGATTGATGCTAAAAGCGAACTTAATGGAGCCAATAAAATGAAGGCTATCAACACCTTAGCCATACCCGTAGTAACATACAGCATCAACATTATTAAATGTTGAATATTGTTGAATGTTGTTGAATATTAAAAGATTGGACGCCAAGACCAGATAATGCTTACCCAAATGAGAATGCACTGCCCTAAATCAGATAATAGGCCGTACGTACCAAGAGCATTTAGGAGGCCGAGGTCTAATCCAACAGCAATCAGATTGGAAGCATACCTCACAAAAACCAATGGACCTCTCCTACAAATAGTAAAACACCAAGTCCCCTCCATCAATAAAGATGCACTCTTCAAATAACAGCTCAATGTACCTGAAACCCTACCAGCAAAAACGAGGCGAATACCATCTACACCAAACGAGTAAAACAGAAAGCAAAACAATTTGGCCAAATGAAATTACAAAAAAAAACCTGGCAGGACAAGGCGTTGCATGGCAAATACCTAAAAAGAACGAAAGAAGCAGATGTAGACCAACAGAAAACATATCAGTGGCTTAGGAGCACCGGGTTGAAGGCTAAGACAGAAGGCCTAATTATTGCAGCTCAAGAGCAAAGCCGCGCAACCAGATTCTGTCACTGCTATATAATGAAGGATGGAACTAACCCGAAATGCAGGATCTGCGGAAAATATGATGAAACTGTCGACCATATTATCTCAGGATGTCCGGAACTGATAAAAAATGAATATACCCACAGACATAACAAGGTAGCGACATATGTGCACTTGAAGATATGCAAGAAACACAAAATCGATTAGAATTTCGAAAGACCTCGAAAGTATTGAGGTTTAAGAGAATACTACGGAAGTTGCAGGAGATTTGAAGAGACTTGTTGCCACTCAATCTACAGCAATAAACTCATCAGATGAGATCATGTAAATGCATGAAATATTTGTAATAATAATAATAATTTGAGACTCAAGGAAGGATTAAGAATGTCCAGACCACAGCATAATACCGAGGAAGGTGCTGGAGGCCTAAGGAAATTTGGTGCCATTTAGTCTACAGAGATAAACAAAAGACATCCAATGGGAACATGTAAGTGCATTAAATATTTCAATAATAATAATAATAATAATAATAAAATACTTCGTTTTTGAATTCAATGTAGTCTTATTCTTAGTAGAGTGGACGCTATCCAGAGCTAGAGAGGCCAGTCAGTTTAACCAGTCGATGAAGGTTGAGAAGTGATAGGTTTATGCTCTTCCCGAGTGGCCGCTATCCAGAGCTAGAGAGGCCAGTCAGTTTAACCAGTCGATGAAGTTTGAGAAGTGATGGGTTTATGCTCTTCCCGAGTGGCCGCTATCCAGAGCTAGAGAGGCCAGTCAGTTTAACCAGTCGATGAAGTTTGAGAAGGATGGGTTTATGCTCTTCCCGAGTGGCCGCTATCCAGAGCTAGAGAGGCCAGTCAGTTTAACCAGTCAATGAAGGTTGAGAAGTGATGGGTTTATGCTCTTCCCGACTGTATTTATGCGAAAGTGAATGCCTCTGTCTCGGTTGAAATTCGAACTTCGATCGCTGATTTTACATTCCAGTCCTATGCGATAACCGCGCCGCTACTTGAGCGTCTGCCGTTTGCAAATAAAACTTGTGCTCAATGAATTTATTTCCTTGACGCTACTACTACTGCTACAACTAAAACTACCATCGCTTCTAACCGTCGCCAGGAATACTGTATTGGTTATTGGTTATTGTTTATCATTATTATTATTATTATTACAATTTCTCTAGTGTTCGATTTTATAAAAGACTACGTAAAGAAACAAATAAATAATTTATTATAAACAATAATATGACTTTAATTCTTTTTCAAAATTCTATGCAATTCTCACAACTACAATAAACAACTGTCAATATCAGCTTTTTTTTTCTTCACATTATCTTCGCTAACGCCCGTAAGGCCACTATTACCACTACGGCTTCCACCGTAACCAGAATGTGCAGGCCACACACCCCCTACATTCATCACCCGCCTTCCCTCCCAAACAGCTTCTATCCCCATCTTCCTCGTTTTAGTCTCCAACGCGTCATCAGAAGAGTATCAACTGCCGACACTAGAAAGTAATCTTATCGATTTTCTGACGTCTGCTAGACACCGTTCTTCCTTCTTCGAAGAGATTCGATTCCAAAACGACATTAAAGCCGGGCGAGCGCGTTCCCTCGTGCCCAGAAAATGTCTCCGAATTGCCCATAGGTGCACCGTTACGTTAATTATGTCTGCGTTGCTGGCTGCCACGGCGGCGAGGCCGGCATTGTAGTTTGGTCTTGATTGCATAATGATCGCCAGATCTCGCTGATAACTCATCTCGTATCGGCGAGATCTCGTAGATTTTTGGCGACACTTCTGATTCAACTATAAAGTGGGAGAAAAAGAAGAGGGAATGAAATAAAGAAAAGGCAAAGGGCTCAAAGGACCTTTAGAAAAACGGAAAAGAAAAAGAAAAAAGAAAAGGCGAGGACTAAGAACATTAGAAAAGAAATAAGAGAACAAAGAATAAAGTTAATGGATATATATATATATATATATATATATATATATATATATATATATATATATATATATATATCTATAAACAATGCTTATGCCGACTAATACCACTTATTATTCCTTTTATTTTAATTCTTTGTTGTTCTTTTTCATCCATTGTTTGCTTCTTTCTCCATTTATCCTAGTCACTTTTTGTTATCGTCTGCTTCATTTCTGTCGCGTTCGACACTTTTCAACTGTTTCTCTCTAGTTATCTACGCTTAAGTGAAATGGCGCGCCTAAGCGAGAAAAAGATTAGGGAAAGATGGGGGGGAAAACCCTCTGCGGAGTGATTTCGACGACAATGAAATGTCTACGAATGTTATAATGCCTTCAGAGTCGTGCCAGGCATAATTTTGTTCAGCGTATTTATATACGCACGCCGTGGGTGTGCGCCGCCACCCGTCTGGTACGTGTGGCGCAAACGTGGTTCGTTTATGTTATGAGTTAAGTGTCCCGCACGGGCCAAAGTTTTTTTCTTCGTTTTCCCAACCTAATCTCTCTCTTCCTCCATCTCTATCTCTCTTTCTTTCTCCCATCTCAGTCCTGACCACACCCTACATCCAACGAGTTCCCGTTTACTTGTCGTCGAAGAGTTGTTTGCTAAAGTGATTTCTTTGCCAAGCGGTCGATTTATATTAAAGCATTCACCTCTTTCTATTCAACTCAATATCGCTCGGAAAAATAGGCGGCTGCAACAACAAGGCGTTATCAACCCGACTGCGAGGAAGAGGCCGACGTTGACGACGATGGTCACGAAACACGATATCTATTGCACTGATGATGATTATGAAGATGATAACACAATAATTATGTTTGGGGCGCCTAGCGGAAAATGATAGGTTACAATCCTGTCTCGCAAGCTATTAGTCGTGTGATCTTTCTCACTGGGTACTCTATTCCTATGACGTTGTGCCTGATAAAAACTAAACGCGATAAATAACGACATAAGGGCGCCTACCATAGGCTCGTCGTTCTTAAGCTGATTTTACAAGCGAACGAGTTCAATCCACTACAGGGTACTCTTTTATTCTGCTTCTTTAACAAATTAAACTAAGCCCACCAATTCTTCTTCTTCATGTTTTTCTTCTTCTTCTTCTTTTTCTATGTGCAGTGTTCCTTTAGGATGAGGTTGATCGCAGCTCTCCGCAACTTCCTGTCCTTTATAGTCCTAAGTAAAGTTCGTGTTACTCTCTTCTTTCCTCTGTCCTTTTTTCTTCTTTTTCTTCTTCGTGCACTATCCCTTCAGGACATGGGCGATCACGACTCTCCACAAAATCCTGTCCTTAGTAAAGTTAGTATTTTTATAACAAATTAAACTAAGCATACCTATTCTTCTTCTTCTTCTTCTTCTTCTTCTTCTTCTATGTGCAATGTCTCTTCAGGGCGCGTTCGATCACGGCTCTCCACCACTTTTGCCCTTAGTAAAGTTTGTCTTTTTGTTATATCTTCTAATTCCTGTTCTGCCAACCTTTTGCACAAGTTTGTTATGCACTGCTTTTCTTTGTCCTTTCTTTCTTTCTTTCTTTCTTTTCTTTCTTTCTTTCTTTCTTCTTCTTCTTAATCTTTTTCTTCTTCCTCTTCTATGTGCCGCATCTCTTCAGGACATATGCGATCATGGCTTGCTACAACTTCTTGTTCCGTGTGGATCTTAGCAGTTTTTCTCCCTTTCCTAAGGTTCCCTTTGCTAAGGCTCCCGACTCCAGTTCCGCCACCCCTTCACAAAAACTCGTTAGATATATGACCAGCTGCCTTCCCTTACCTCTTTTTCCCTCAGTATGTCCCTTGAGGGTTAAGTTTTCCAAGCCCTCCTTCCTCATCGAGTCCAAGGAATTTCAGCTATCTCTTCCTGATTTTGAGTTTTTCTTTCTATTGCCATTTTCTTTAGGGCTTTCTTGTTGCTTACTCGCACCGTGCATGGAATTTTCACTCCCTCTTTTCTTACATAAATTTCCACTCACTCTTTCCTTAAATAAATTTCCACTCCTTCTTTCCTTACATAAATTAGGCGTTTCGTTTCCATTACTTGCTAAAAGCGTAACGGACATCGGCACAGAAAGAGGAATCAACGAGCCGTGTTCAAATTCCAGGTTAGTCAGTTGCGTTCACTTTTGCACAAACGCAGTTGGGGAGGGAACCAAGCCCTCACTTCTCACGCGCCTATGGGTTAAATAACAAGGTAGAGAAAGGCGCTAGAGATTTGAAGAGATTTTGTGTCACTTAATCTACAGCAATAAACACCAGGCATCTGATATGAACACCTAAAGGCGTTAAATAAAATGGAATATTCGAGGAAGGATTGGGTCAGTCCAACCACGGCAGAGGTGTGGTCTAAGAGAATACCGAGGAAGGTGCTGTAGATTTGAGGACGCTTGTTGCCACTCAATCTACAGACTCAATAACTACCAGATATCTGAATACATTAATTATTTGTAGTAATACCTAGCCTTGTTTGGAAACCAGTCTAAAAGAAGGAAATCTATGTTTCCTGTGGTTGATATTTAATATTCTAATATTATTTACAGCGATTGATGAATCCATATCGACGTAATCGATTTCTGAGAATATATCTCCGAAGTGGTCATAAACAAAGCGCATATGGCCCGACGATTGCGTTCAGCAAGAAACAGACTGTCGCCTCTTGGTGGGACTTCAACATATATATATATATATATATATATATATATATATATATATATATATATAAATGAACATTGAAGTCAACATTTAGAGGCGACAGTTTCAATTTCATGCTAAACGCAATCGTCAGGCCCTGCTTGCTTTTTCTCGGATTTCAAATAGCCGAGAAAAATAACAGCACTCAACAAATATCTGATTTAGACTGCGTCTAGCATGAAACAGACTGTCGACTCGAAGTGTTGACTTCAATATTCACTTTTATATTTACACACGCTCTATGTCTGATATTGAGCACTTTATTCCATAAACATAGCACACTTTAAGACTATATTTCTTCATATATATATATATATATATATATATATATATATATGTATATGTGTGTGTGTGTGTGTGTATATATATATATATATATATATATATAGTAAAAAAAGAAAAATAAATCCGTTGGTATATAAGTGGATCCTAGTGATATAAAATATTAAAACTGATCTACAAAAAGAGTTCAGTGTATTTATTATTAACGAGCAAATAATTAATGCACAATAAAATCTAAAATTACCTCATATGAGGAATAAGCTTATTTCAACCGACGAAATTCGTCAGTCTTATTCAACCCCGGTATAGACTGAGTTCGTGTTGGAATTAGAAATTTAATTGTGACAGCTACAAAAAAAAAACGTCGAAAAACTAATACAAAATTTATCCCTTTCATTGATTCAGTCAGACGAAAAGCACGAAACAGTGGTCAAGGGAGGTATGACTCTTAATGAAAAGAGGTTTTATAAAACTAACTGTATAGATAGATAGATAGATAGATAGATAGATAGATAGATAGATAGATTGTGCGATGGGTAAATTGTCGCCATTTGATATTTTGAATTTTGCGCATGCGCGTTGTTGTTTTTTATTATTATTTTGTCGACTGCACAGTATAGTAGGGTCAGTTGGGTACCGTCTGGGAGAAAAAGAGCACCTTGACACAATTCACTCCGCCAGAAAATTGGGAACAGTATGCTGTTCTGATTGACATTCGCACCGGAAACTCCAATACAAACATTTCAGAGTGTTTGGGTGTCAATCCGAGGACAGTGCAGAAGATTCGGAAAGAATTGGATGATATATCCAGTCAACATCATTGGTGTTTGGAGTGATCACTAGTGTGGCGACGTTGTGCCTCCATTCATCTAACCACAGGGTCTCAGACTCAACACGGAGGCTTACATCAAGTGCCTTGAGGTGGTAGTGCTGCCCTGGGTGTCTGCTGGGAGACCCTATGTCTGGTAAAAGGACTCTGCACATGCCACACAAGCAGAAGAACTAATTCGTGGCTCTGTCTATATTTCTGAGGTGAGGTCCTCAAGGACACATGGCACAGTGGATAAAAGCGTCGGTTAGATCCAGTGACAGGACCCAAAGAGTATGAGTTCAATACCCAGTTAAGGCAGTGGAGAACTTGGAGAGGGGAATTAACAGAAGATAACTGATAACTGACATCCATTAAACATGGCACGTGGAATTAGAACAGTGTACCCCAGTGAGCGAAATAAAGGGTTCAGATCGACATTCCAACCACCTGAAGAAGGCGGGAGAGTACAACGGCCGAAACGTTGTGATAAATATGGCAACAAAAATGAGGACAATAGTATAGTCATGGCTGTCAGGCAATTTCTACGACCAAATCACCTCTTACATGTGGCCACCTAACTCCCCAGACTGCAACCCCCTTGGTTATTATATGTGGGGTGTAGTTGAGTAAGAGACTAGCAAAACTCTTTGTAACACCAAAGATTAAATGAAGGCAAGGGTTATGGTAACATTCACCAGCTTAAACAAGGAGACAGTCCAGATGAGTTGCAAATGATTCCGAAGTTGTCTGGAGGCCGTGTGTTTTGGTTTTCGTTTTTTGGGGGGTTTTTTTTCTGTATTATTTTTTTTTAAATGTTTTAAATATAGGATAAAGAATCCTGATAAATTTTTAAGAAATTTGACAAATGGTAAACGTTTCATATTCGATTACACGTTTCGCCATGGATTTGTGCGTATGCTTAAACATACTCACAAATATACATATACACATTTCTTTCTTTCGTTTTTGAATTTGATGAAGCCTAGAAAGGTGAAACGCGTAATCAAATCTAGTTTCGATGAAACGTTTTCCATTGGTCAAATTTCTTAACATACACACAGAGACGTGTATATATATATATATATATATATATATATATATATATATATAGCATAGTGAGAAGCCACGTATACTTTCTTAATATGTATATATAGAAAAAGTTTCAAATTGAAAATTATAATGTTTTATTTTATGAAAGTATTTATTTATTTAAATATATAAATTTGATATTTCAAATTTGTCCTCAATTTTTGATCAAAAATTGAGGACAATTTGAAATATCAAATAAATATATAAATAAATAAATACTTTAAAATAAAACATTATAATTTTCAATTTGAAACTTTTTTCATATATATATATATATATATATATATATATATATATATATATATATATATATATATATATTTGAAAGAGAAACAGACCACTTTAAGGTTCCATTATAATAATTTATTTCACCAGAGCCCTTTTAAAGGACGCCGGATCATCAGATAGCACTTTTAAATATATATATATATATATATATATATATATATATATATATATATCCTTTCTTGAGCCGTTTCTTGAGCCGGTTTCTAATGTTCTGGATGTTTTGTAAAATTTATTACCAGCAATAAATTTTTGAAGATAGATAATGATCAGAATAAGATAGATAGATAGATAGATAGATAGATAGATAGATAGATAGATAGATAGATAGATAGATTCACCTCTCTCGTGCATGACCCCAAAGGTGACATTCCAGGCCGACTGCGGAGTTACATGACTTGTTACACTAGTGATAGATAGATAGATAGATAGATAGATAGATAGATAGATAGTCGCGTTCCTTATATTAACTTACGCACAAATACTCATGGGAAGCTGAGTCCATATCTTCACCCCCTTGTAGAACAAACTCGGCCCTATAGCCTTGGTTGGCAATCAGTTTACCACAGTATGAAAGAAACCTACAGTGGGAACTCTTCGGCCTAGTCAGTCCTGAATCGAAAGAGACTTGATCATCCAAGCGTGTATGACGTATGGCCCTTGATTCGTTAGAATAACCCGGTATATTTACTGGAAACAATCCCCCAGCATCCAGATAAAAGAAGAAATATACAAATGTAGAAAAGGGCGTGATTGATAGTAAACTCCTGGACCTTGGAATTAAAAACGCCATAACTACATCTTCCATAAAAGACATAAAATTCGTGGATACATAAAATTCTTTGTGTCCCCATGTACAATATAAAAAACAATTTTTCGATTTAAAAAACGCTAGAATGGTTAGATTTATTCATTATAAATCCTCGAGAAGATTTGTTGAATCGGTTATAATATCACGATTCAATTCGACAAATCAAAAAGTAGTTTTTTCTATAACATATCACCTTTTCACCTTCAAGAAAATAATGTAAGCATAGGTGAAGCCAGGGCGATGTTATCGATTTGCGTGAAAATATTTCTTAAGTGATATTAAAAGGGAATACGTGTGGTACGAACCAGTAGCAGTTTCTTGTGAGATGGTGGCTTTATTTTTGGAGATGAAAGTGACGAATGTTTATAGGCATTGTAAATTACAATGTCTCTTGTTTTACTGACAGCTACACCCAGTTCACAAGAGAAGATTAGTTGTTCAGAAATGTCCATTTTACATATTTAAAGGTGGACTAAAGCTAAACAGAAGAGTTGTGGAGTATGGGTAAAGTACGTGGGTAGCGCTTTAAAACGAGGCCAAAATCTTACCTATACGTTTTCTTCTATGTCTAATGTCTTTCCAGGATGTGAACGATCATGTCTCTCCACAACTTCCCAACCTTCATAGAACTTTAGTAAGCTTTATCTTTTCATCATCCTTCCCACTCCCTGTTCTGATATCCATTTACAAACATTTTTTTTTTACTCACATTTTTATCTCATCCATCTTGCCTTCACTCTGCCTTGTGAGTGTCAAATTCTCGAAGCTGTTTTTCCTCATTATGTATCTCATAAATTTCAACGGTCTCTTTGTAATTCTAAGTAGAAGCGTCTTTTTTCTTTCTTTCCTTTTTGTTTAAAGCTTCTTGGTTGCAATCAGGTTTCGTTCTTTGTATTCTCGGCATTCTTCAGTACAGTAGAACATCCCTTTTGCCTCAAGTCTGTTCATCATCATCAGTTAGCACTCTTTTCGTTGTTTCTAATATTGAGATGAGAAACGGACCTAGATAGATAGATAGATAGATGCGAAACAGACTGAGATAGATAGATAGATAGATAGATAGATAGATAGATAGATAGATACAATAAAGTTGAAAAATATACTGTCTATTCTAATATAATTTTAAAAATATTAAACAGAATACCTATTTTTTTTTTATTCATTTTTTATTTATTTAGCTGTAAACTATAAAGAGTTTTAAAGCCAAGACGATCTCTTTTCCTATCGGTAATCCTATTTCAAAATGGATGCCCCTCCGGCCACACGTAAAACTTCATAGAATTTCTATTTCAGAAAAGGATAAAGTCCTCACAGGAGGTTCGGGAATGTGTATAGAAAGGTTGTAGTTGATGTAAGCAAGTTAAGGGAACGGGTCAGTAGATTTATTATCAATCCTAGAGAGAAAAGAGAAAATGACAGCTGCTGCGGTAAATAAGGATAAGGCAAAGCAGATTGAGGATTTAATTGCAGGAAACAAATTATAAGCTGTCCAAAAACAATCAAAAAATCCAAGGTTACAATTAAGCAAAATCCAAGGTGTTTTATTCAGAAAATTCAAGGGGATACAATTAATAAAAGTTCGGGATACTCAGTTCAACAAAATTCTGTGTATACAACTCAACAGCCAAGTGGTTACGGAGTGTTAGAAAATATATGAAAGAAAACACTATTAAGAAGAGGGAACAATTAAAAAAACAAGAATTAAGAAGATAGTAAATAATGATTGATTTATTAAATTTATGAAAATCAAAGTTGACTGGGAAACAAGAAGCCAGAAGAGAGCTCAACAGGCATTAAGTGTGATAGAGGAAACTGTTAGCATAGAACTTACGGTTACATCTCATTTCAACTGTAAAACTATGAGACCTTTCCGCCAATCTCTTACCGTGTTTAAATTCATAGAGTCTAGATACCATAGAGGATAGTTTCTCAGAACAATTACCATGAAAGTATTTATAGAAAAGGCCGAAGGAAGCTACATTACGGCGGTAGGAAAATGACTGAAGCCGAGATGCCAGGTCAGGATCAATAACATTTCAGATTTTTCCTTGGATTTTATCAAGAATATCTAATAATATAACAGGAGCACCAAAGCAGTTGTGGCAACAGTATTCTAAGCAAAGACCAATGGTAGACTTATAAATATATAAGATAGATCCTGTAATGAAATTAGCACGACAAAGGGAACCAACTTTCCTAACAGCAGACTTAGCAATTTCCTTCTTCTTGTCAGCTGAAAAGGTTAGTCCAAGAAGGCTCAATGACTCATTCTTCTAGAGGTTAGCATCAGCCATGCTGATGGTAGACAATAAGAGTTCTCTTACACGATTAAAAGAGAGCAGTTTTATTTGGAGACGTTAAAATTAGCCAGCCATTCCTTGGCCCAGTTAACAACAGAAAGCAGATCATTTTTTAGATCAGCTGCCAATTCGACCTTATTGAATGGTTCTCGTGACTCCTCCCGAATCTATGAAACGAAGACACCCACCACCACCACCACTCTATTACATCTCAGTTTTTATAAGGTAGTATTCTTATAGAATTATGTACAATAAAGGATCATATGCAATATAGGTGAACAATTAAATTAGAAAAATTGAAAATAAATACAATGTAACTAAATACAAATGAGAGACATGTCATAATAGATCATCCCATCTTAAATAAATCAACGTTTATGTGGCAGTTTTTATGTTATATCTCGTGCAAGATATAATAAACAAAGTAAACCCGAGTGTGGTTTTCAATAATAATTTTATAATCGGATGTAGGTTTGTCAAATACAGAGACCAGAGTCAGGAGTATGCTAACCTCAATAGGTGTTAGCAAACGAAGACCTTTTTTCTTACTGTTCGCTGTGGTCGTACTTTATCGGCAACCAGTCCGTCCATTATCGTGAATGGGGAAGTTGGGTTATCTCATCACAACACCTCCCCCCGAAGCTGAAATTCTCCCTTTTGAAAATTTCTGCTTCTAATGTCTTTTTGGATCCGGACTAAAACGCTCCACTAGTTTTCTTTCCCGTGTGCTCCTTCTTTTAGTCGTCACAATTAGATCCTTTTTTGGCGAAGATAATTTCCGCTTTTCAGCCAGTAAGGCTGGTCCATGCGATACAGGTTCAAATACACTATTGGGTAGTGTCATGTTAAAAGCATCGCATAACACTTCCATCGGAATTTCTTCTTCGCTTTTTTTACTTTCTTCACCATATCGTGGTCTAATCTGATGTGTCTTTTACACGTAAATTTTTTACTTTTAATCGTGTAGACCACTTTACCAATCCTTTTCTGGATTATGCCATCCATCCAATAGCTTTTCCCACTTATAAAATTTAAAAAAAAAAACTGTCTCCTGACGTGTATTTTTTTATGTTGACTTTTTCCTCTTTCTTGGCAACTTTTTTGTTTTGATAGGGTAACAATCTATCGAAAATTGATCTAATTTTCCTTGCGAACATAATTTCCGCCGGTGACATTTTCACATCGTTGTTCTCATTAGGAGTTACCCTATAGATTGCTAAGAACTTCTGTATAGTTCTTTCTTCCGTGTCCATACCTTTATTTTTACGTAAAGCACGTTTAAAAGTGTCAACAAATTTCTCGGCTTGACCGTTCGACCTGGGATGACACACTGGTGTAGTTATGTGTTCAATGTCTAAGGCAGTACAGAAATCTTAAATTCCATACTTGAACGCCGTACCATTGTCGCTAACCAATGTTCTGGGAACCCCGAAACGACTGAAAATTTCGTCCAATGCACTGATGGTGTTCCTAGATGTAGGATGCTTGCACTTGACTACCTCAGGCCATTTCGATAAAGAGTCCACCAATATCAAATAATAGTGCCCATTAATTGGTCCAGCATAGTCTATATGTAGACGTGCCAAGGATTCATTTTGACCGGAGGTGCCCTTGAAGCCAATTGACAACCTCTACATAGTCTTACAAAACCTTCAATATCCTTGTCCATTCCTGGCCAGTATACGTAACCATGCATGAGTGATTTCATCCGAGACATTCCAGGATGACCGGTATGAAATTCTTTCAGCATATCTGTACGTAGAGATTGAGGTATAACAATTCTATCTGCGTACATCAATGTGTTGTCGCAAATTGAAAAAGGTGAAATCTGAGTTCCCTTTTTCCGTCTTTTGTTCCATCTCGTCTGGTTCCTTAATTTCACAATATAGTGATCTTTTTCCGCTTCTTTTTTTATTTGGTCCAACGTTACCGGCAATTCCCTGATTGTATTCGACAAGAGACCTGATATTTCTTTTTCCTCAGTTAATGCTGCTATAACCGTCTCTAACATTTCTTCATTTTTTGGAATCGGCCTTGACAATCCATCCGCATGCCCATGTTCTTTAGATTTGACGTATTCCATTCTAAAATGGTAATTAAGCAGGGTTACACCCCATCGCCGTAAGCGATTTGCTGTATGCGTAGGAAAGCCTTTTTTACCTCTAAATATTGTAAGTAACGGTTTATGGTCCGTTTGAAGTACAAATGATCTACCATGTAAAAAACGATGGTATTTTTTAACCCCGAACACAATCGACAAAGCCTCTTTCTCGATCTGACTATAATTTTTTTCAGCCGGAAGAAGAGTCCTCGACGCGTGCGCGATCGGTTTAGTAGTGCCATCTTCATATTTGTGTAGCAGTGCAGCACCCACTCCGTACAAACTTGCGTCAGTTGCCAGAATGATCTCTTTCTCAGGATCATAATGTGCTAAGGCGAGATCTGAGAGTAGGCATTTTTTTTATTTTCTGAAAAGCCGTCTCGCACTCTTTTGACCAAAACCATTTCTTGTCTTTTTTCAACAATTCGTTAAGGGGGAGGGGCTCTTAAATCATACATTTTAGGTATGTAGATTGCATAATATTGTGCCAACCCCAGAAACGATTGTAGTTTCGCAACTGTGTCGGGTGCAGGCATGTTCTTAATTGCATCGGCTCTCTGTGGGTCCGGTTTCCTGCCTTCACTATTACCTGTCCGAGGTACGTAATTCTTTCCATGAAGAATTTACACTTCTCATGGCTTAATTTAAAGCCAAAATCTTCTAGTCTTTTGAATATCGCTCTGATGTGCGTTTTATGTTCTTGAACATTCTTAGTTTTGACTAGAATGTCATCTAAATAGGCGGTACCAAACTCAAGGCCTGCCAGCATAGTGTCCATCACCTGTTGAAACAAAGCTGGGGCGACCTTTAAGCCGAAAGGAAGCCTATTTAGCTTATAAATACCTTTATGTGTATTTATACACAAATATTTCGAGCATTCGTCACTCACTTTAATCTGCAAGTATGCGTCAGACAGGTCGATTTTTGAAAAAATCTTCCCACCATTCAATTTTGAAAAATATCTTCTGGTGAAGGTAGTGGATAACTGATTTTTAAGGCAATCATTTAACCCTGTTGAAAAAATCTGCGCACACTTTATTTTTCCGTTTTTCTTCTTAACATAAACTGTGGGTGAGGCCCAGTCTGAATGGTCAACCTTAGATATCACTTCCATTTTTTTCAAATCTTTCCAATTCCTTATTAATTGTGTCTAAGGAGGAAAAAGGAACGTTTCTCTTAGGTTTGAAAATTGGTTTCACATTTTCCTTGAGTTCAAATTTGACTTCGTCTTAGTACATAAACCCAATCCCTCAGAAGAAACTCTGGGATATTCTTTTAACTCGTTTATGAATTTCATTTTTAATATTTTTTTCTTTTTCTGCACTGTTTATTACGTTGCAAAATGAGTTAATCGGGAGTTCAAACAAATCAAAGTACTATCCAGTCTATTCCAAAAAGACATGAATTAATCCCTTGGATTACATACACTTTCGTTTTTGCAGTCTTGCCACATAACGAAATATCGCACTTTAATTCTCCCTTAAAGTTTAATTTCTTTCCTGAAACCCCTCTAGCGGTTTTTTTTTTTTTGGTTTCAGATAATTTAGGTCTTCCAATATTTTTCCACGTTTGTTCATCAATGATGTCTGAACCAGAATCCAATAGGAAAGTAATTGTATGATTATTTATACGTACATCTACGTACTTTCTATTTTTACCTTTCTGAATTTCTTTTTCTGATAATACCAGGCTTACATCTTGTAAT